CGTTTGGTAGCATGTCGTGCACATGTTGAAAAACCAATGGTTTTCTAAAGAATTCGCAGAAAACGCGCAAGCTTTTTTTGAAAGTCCGCGTTGCGAACCCCTTTTGTGTGATCACTCGATTTTGAAATCCTTACGGGACCGAAGGTTTTTGAAGGATTCCGGCATGCGCGCGCGACGACGCGCACGTGTGCCCTTCGTCCCGTTCTTTTGCAAGGGCTTCTTGAACACTCATGATTTTGGATAAACGATTGTGCGCGCATAATATTTGTCGCAGAGAACGGCGGGGGGGGGGGGGCGATAGTGGTTTGGCTGAAATAATATGAGTTCACAGTTCGGATGGACGATGGGGCAGAACCACCTGTAAATTGTAATACGAAAAGGGGGGTCTTCAAGTCCGGGGGGGAAGGTGGTAGTTTTTTTTTTTTTTTTTTTTTTTTTTTTTTTTTTTTTTTTTTTTTTTTGTTTTTTTTTTTTTTTTTTTTTTTTTTTTTTGTTTTTTTTGTTTTTTTTATATATATATATATATATATATATATATTTATATATGTATATATATATATATATGCACGAAAGGAGAATCTAGAGCGGCGGCGAAGCGACGACGGTGGCCATATAGCCGCCACACCGAAGACATGGCCCTCACGACGTGCGGCGACGAGGCGACGACGGGGCGGCGACAGCGGCCACATAGCTGCCAGACCGAAGACACGGCCCAGTTTCTTAGAACAGAAATAGGACCCCCCTGAATGCAAGCACTGTTTGGACACATCAAAAGCGAAGGGGCTTCTTTGGCTATGGTGGGCCGAGGCCGCAAACAAGCTCCACGACCTAGATCTAAGGAACGGCCCTCAAACCCAAATCCCTCTTGAACCCAAAGCGGTCCTTACTTCCGCGTCCTGACTGTAGAAAGGCCGACCTGGGCGATTTGGAAACACTGGGCTGCAGAGTGGCTGCCAGCAAGTGCTAGAAAAGAACCCCCCCCCCCCAGCCTTCTCCTCCTCCTCCTCTTCCTCCCCCTCCTTCTCCTCCTCCTCCTCCTCCTCCCTGACCAGTTGCACCAGCGAGGCGTCTCCTTCCCATCAGTTGGGAAGCAAACGACTTTCACGCAAAGAACGCAGTTTGTTAAACCTCTGGCGTGGTCAGCTTCCAGAGACTGCGATTATTGGGCTTGAGTGTTTACTATTACTTCGTCTTATGGTGTCTTATGAACCCGAAAGTCCCCCCCTCCTCCTCGCGCCGTGAAACGGATCGCGAATAACAGATCACGACGGACAACTTGCCCGGCGTGTTCGTGGACCTCGGAGGGCTTTCCAGCCTCGGGATGCTTTCCGGCAGCTGCTCCTCGCCGATGGCGCTCTGGGGGGCGCCCCGCTCGTCTGGAGCGTCCGACGGAGACACGAGCTGTGGCCCGAAGACCAGACCTCATCGCCCCGTGGAACAGAAGAGCTCCGCGGACAACATTTTGGAGCAGTGCTCGGCCTCTGGTCGCTCTCACGGGGCCCCAGACGGGTCGGGGATGGCAAGTGAGCAGGGACCGACCGTCCCGGCATCCCTATAGGCCTACCACGACATGTTCTTAGAACCCAAGAGAATTCTAAGAACAAAAACAAGGTTCTTAAAACATAAGCCCGATGTGTTAAAACAAGACAGTCCCAGCCAGAAATGTTCTAAGAACATTTCGTCGAAACCACAAACGGTTCTTAGAACACTCTTAGGTGGGCCTATAGGCGAGACAGGACGCTTCGCCACTACTTGAGGAAGGGCGGTCCTCAGGAAGGGGCTGGGACCTCCAAACTTTTGCCGTCGCAGCGCGGCAGGAGGCAATCCGCACGCGCGCTCCAGCAGCCTGGGGACTGTGGCGTGCCACGTGTCCGTCCGGCACCGAGGGAGGGGCGGAGGCTGGAGGGCGGCCGCAGGAAGCGGGGCGGGGGAAGAGGGCACACACACACACACACGCACCACACGAGGAGCTTCGGCAGGAGCGGGGTCTCCAAACGTGCAAGTTGCGCAAACATCGCGACGTTGGAAGTCTGGGTCCCCCTGATTTGCCGCTCACGTGGCCGATTCTGGAGACCCTGAACGCCAAAATGTAAAGAAGTCCCACTGTTACTCTTAGGCCGGCCGTGTCCTCCTGCAGGCAGATGCTGGAAGGGGAAATGACACACAGCCAACACATTAATCCAACGTAGTAAAAAAAAACACGAACAATCGTTAAAGTGCGGGCGCGGCCGCAAGAAACCCTCGCAAGAAACGCAACCCTGAGAACCCGTGCGCGAGGTACACCTGAGGGGAAACCTGGAGCACCCTGAACGCAGCAGCTCCTTCAACGGCTGCGGGAAGTCACCGCGCAGCGCGAGGAGCGAGGAAACCCAGGATACCCTGACGAAAAGCATATAGTTTCTTGATGCGCGCTCCCACTGTGCCAGACTATTTTTTACTATTCTTGCGCATTCCTCTGGTGCGAAGGGCATGCCCGACTTCACTGCTACTTCCGCCGCCGCCTTCCGCCGGCCCTTCCGTCCGCGGGGCCCGCCGCCGCCTTGCTTCCGCGGTTAACCCGCCGAGGGCGAGGACGTGCCGAAGGCGAGACCCCCTCTCTGGAGCGCCCCGTGATTGGGGCTGCAGCAGACCGGGTCGGAGGATACAGCCAACCAATATAGTGAGGATGCGCGATAAGGATGCAAGGGCCTTGGACGCCCATCTCGAAGCTTTTCGAGCGGGGCGCGGCCAACGAAACTGGCCAAGGATGGGCCGAGGAGGCAAGGATGGAAGGGTACCCTTGGGAAGCTGCCCATCCTTCCTGTCCGCGTTGACTGTAACGCCGCATCTCCGATGCATCGAGACGTCGGGACGGATAACATAAGCAACTTGGGCGTCGGCACCGATGGCCAGCAGGAAGTAGCTTGGGAGGATGCTTGCGATTGTGCCCAGGGCGTCCAAGTACTGTTTCACTTGATGAGCCCCAGGCGTGGCAAGCCTTATCGAATCGACGTTTCACAGCTTGGTCGAAGAGGCTCGAGGAGCACAACGTCCAGGCAGACAAAAATAAGCACCACCTCGAGGTCATAACGTCTAAATTTTTGCTTGCAGAAAGGTCGGCTGCGCGTTCCACTCGAATGACTAGGACAGCCAGCTCTTCAATAGTTTGTCTGGCGAATGTGCTGGACTTCAAGAAGCTGGTGAAGATGGTGTGTACGTCCAGGTAACATTCACGCGTGCTGTTCATGACGACCTCACTTTCTTTAGACCAGTACGGAGGTTGTCAATCCGATGCTGTACTTCAGAGTGCGGGTACAACATCATCACGAATACACACGTCGGGACGGAGAACATCGTGCTGCAGATCCAGCCGCATCGGCGGTGCGGCGCGATCCTCCGACCCCATCTGCACCGGCCCCGTGTGGGAGGTCTGGGGCCTCCTGCTCATCGATCGATGTCGTCGTCGACGACGATTTTCGTTAGATCTTCGGAAATCTCACCTGGACTTCGGCCTCTATGGGCCTCGATCCGGGACCTGTGGCTGTCAGAAATCGATCCGCGGGATGGAAACTGGCCAGGGTGCACCTAAGGAGGGTTCCAGGAAAGATCCGCGATGGAAACTGGCCAGGGTGGACCCAGGGAGGGGTCCAGGAACTGATCTTGAGCGGACTTCGGGTAATCAGCTCCCAACCCTGGGCCAGCAAAAGGAGGAGAAGCAGAGTCGGCTCAACATGGCCGATTTCCGAAGCCCTTATACTTTCTTTCTTTCGACAGAGCGTGGGCCATGGCCCGCCCGAAGAGTCAGTGATCTAAGGTCAGGAGGGTGTTAGCGCACTCGCTAGCCACCGCAAGCCCGCTTCGAGTGCCAAAGCCTCGGCCTCGAACGCAAATGTGAGCCCTTGAACCGGCTCCCCTTCTCTCCGCAGCGTGCTGTACTTGCACCGGCCGCTGTCCCCGCCCCAGAGGCGTGCCAGACAGCGAAACCAATGGTGCCTTCGCCGTTGCGCCGTAGGCCGCCGTCGGTACACAAAACATGTTGAGCTCTCACTCTTGCTGGGGAGCCCACAAAGGACGCACGCGCCCAACTATGTGCACGAACACGGCCCCTTGACCCGCGAGGCCAGCCGAGTGATACGAACATTCGCGCAGCGCGAACTCTCGAAACCAGCAGGGATTCATGCACGTGTACGGTCAAAAACCCTAATGAGGACGCGCGACTTTGCTCAGGGTACCCTTGCGTCCTTGCTCTTCCTTGCTCTTGCGTTGCGTCCTTGGGGTTTTCGCCGTCCGCCGCCCCCAAAATCCCAACTTCGGCTTCCAAGGGTATTGCGTCCTTACCGCGCGTCCTTATTAGGGTTTTTGACTGTACGTCCTTCTTTCGCTCCTGATCTTGCTTTCGCCGCCCTCCGCCCACCTGCCGCCCGCGGACCCGCCGGCCTTCGCGCGCCGAGGGCGACGACTTTGTGAGCCGAAGGCGAAGAAGGGCCCTTCCTGGCACGGCCGGGTGGCTCCCAGGCCTGGGTCGACCAGGGAGGAAACCAGTTACGACTACCTACCAGACCACCCCAACCCAACCCGAAGACCCGAATTCGACCTGAATTTCGGATTGGGGGGGGTACGGGTTCCATGTGTTTTGTCAATGTTCCCCGGCCCCCCTCCCGCTGGAAATGGATGGCAAATTGAGGCCTTCGGGTTGGGTTGGGGTGGTTTGCTGGGTGGTGAGGTTAGGATCTGGCCGATCCCCCCGTCAGCGCTGACTCCCGCTGCGCACGCCCTGGCCCGACACATCCTGCCCCGCGATCCTCCCGCGACGTGCGGGCCCCCGTGAACTCTTGCGACCCCTTCGGGCGTCCGTCTCTTCTTCCGCCCCCGACCGCAGTCCTGACCAAGGGGGCCCCGAGGAGCCCGAAGACGTGCCCCCCCGGAGGCTCCGAGCCGGGAGAACCTGGCCGCCAGTCGTCGACCCACGGGACGAGCGAGAGAGCCGAGAACCTCCTCGTAACCCCGCGGGCGGGAAGGGCCTCGTGCTGCTCCGCGACCTGCGCCTGCTGCGGTGGGCAGTCCTGGCGGCGGGGCCGCCCCACCCCGCGCGTGACGTCGGGCTGGAGCTGCCCCTCCGAGACTCGGGCAGACGGCCGGCCGGAGGCCGCTGAGGATGCAAGGCCAGCTGGCGCCGCATCGGGAGATCGGGTCGGACGAGATGTGCGCCGGATCGGCCTGCATCGGCAGGAGCCAAGGCCGGTCGGCACGGCCAGGCCAGGGTGCACAACAGTGCCATTCAGGCATCGGGCCGCATCAGATCGTCCGAATGTCGGACGGGAATCGGATCGGGCCAGCCAGAACTGATCTCGAATCGGATCGAAGTTGGCCCTGGGGGATGTTTGGAGGGTGAGGTCTGCTGGAAGTCTCCAGACAGACAGACGCCCCCGCGTATGGGCACTGGAGACAAACTGGTTCATCCGATGGCGACTCATCCGCTCCGACTCATCCGATCCACAATCCAAACGACTCGCGACCGGATGAATTAGACCGGATGAATTGGACACCGGATGAATTAATGACTGGATGAGATAGCCGGGATGAGTGAGTCACCGGATGACTTAGGCTTCGGGTCAGGCTCCGAATGGGTTAGGCGCTGGGTGATTGAGGCATCAGCCGAGTGAGGCTTCGGATGAGTCGGGACTACCAGGTGAGGCAAGCACTGGGCGAGTTAAACTCGCCAATGAGTTAGGCACCATATTAATTAGGCACCGGATGATTAGATACCGGATGAGCGGATGAATTATGCACAAGATGCCTGAAACACCAGATGAGATAGGCAGCGGATGAGTTAGGCACCGCATGAATTAGGCAACGGATGAGTGTGGCACCATACGAATTAGTCATTGGATGAGTTCGGCACCGGATGAGTTCGGCACCGTGTGAGTTAGACGTACAGAGTGAGCTGTGTGTACTGGGTGAATTAGGGGCACGGGGTGAGTTAAGGACACCAGGCGAGTTAGGCAGAGCGAGCAACTTTGGACCCCCGGTGAGTTACGGTTCCCAGGTGAGTTAGGCACCGCGCAAACTTTACGCACCGGGATGAGCTTGGGGATTGAGTGAGCGGCACCGGGTGAGTGAAACACCTGGTGAGTTATGGGGGGCCGACTTAGTCCAGGCCGGGGTTGTCAGATGTTTTTTTTTTTTGCTAGAAAGCGTTTTATAGTCAAGCAAATTTTAAAACCAGCTTGGTGCTGGCACGGCTGGTCTTGTGCGTTTCTTGGTCTGTCTTGCGACATGCTGCCCGATTTGGCTCTGTGTTCGTGTGCGATTGGGGATCGCCAGGCCGTTGAACATTCAGTTGTCCGCAAGACGGTCTGTAGTCAAACAAATTGTGGGGTCGTCTTCGAGTCGTCGTCGTCGTCGTCGTCGTCGTCGTCATCTCTCGCTCCTCTTCCCTCTCCCCCTCTTCCTCCTCCTCCTCTTCCTCGTCCTCGTCCTCGCCCTCATCCTCCATCCTCGTCCTCCTCCTTCACTTCTTCTTTCTCTTCCTCCCTCTCTTCCGCCTCCTCCTCCATCCATCTTCGTCCTCGTCCTCTTCCACTTCCGCCTCCTCCTCCTTCTCCTTCTTGTCTTCCTCCTTCTCCTCCTCCATCGCCTCCTCCTCCTCCTGTCCAGGAGTCCAGGATACCTAAACCATGTGAGTTGATCGTGATTGTTGGATCTCTGGTGTCAGCAATGAATATCCTTGTGATGCCATTGGGTTTTGAGGTATCCGTTGTTTTCCATCTACACAACGAAACTCGCGCCCAAGAACTTTTCCTGGGGGTCTTTAGCATCGGCGAACTGACTCGTCGTCGCTTTCGCTCCCGGCCGTGCCTGTCCCCAGCGTTCCCTCCCCGCGTCTCCTGGCGCAATACAGCGCAAATCAGCGCAACTTAGCGACAATTAATAATGTCATGTGGCATTATTGGGGCGTGAGAAAGCGTAAGTTAGCGTAAGCTCTCGCTAACGTTTAGGTTAGCCCTTTGGATTCCATTTGGCCAGGCCAGGCCTTTGAAACGTTGTATAGTCAAGCAAAAACTCAGGCAGTCGTCGTGGACCTGTGGACCTCTCGCATTCTGGGAACTTGTGGGATCGTGGGATCGTCATGGCTTTCTTGTCGGATCTCACTGGCAGAGGCGAGGCCTTTGAAACTGTGCTTGATTAAAACAACTGCTTTACTACAAACCGCTTTGTAGTCGCTCACAATTTCAGGCAGTCTTGGGGCATCCCATTTCTGGTCTTTGGCGCTTCTTGGGCTCTCTTGAGAGGCCTGGGTTATTCGTGGCTTGCTTATGGGGTTTGACTGGGCCAGGGCAGTCCTGAGACCATTGGCTTGATCACCTGCACCCAAGCAGATTGCCAGAGCTCTTCCTGGAGCTGTCAGGGGTGTACTTGGGATCCTCTTGGTTTGTTTCGGGGTGTCTGGCGCTGTCCTGGCCTGCTCTTCCGGTTGGATTGAGCTGGGCGAGGCCTTTGAACATATACTTGACTACAAAACGTTTCGTAGTCAAGCAAATATGTGGGTTGTCCTGGACCTGTCACTGGTGCTCTTGGGCGTCATTCGATTTGATTTTGGGAAGTCTCATGTTGTCCTCGCTTGGTTTTCGTTTTTCCCAACCATAGTGTGGTGCTGGGTCCTCGTTTTGAAGAGACGGTCCCCGCGTTCTCCTCCCGCCTCCTTCCTCCCTCCTCCTCCCCCTCCTCCCGCCCCCCCTCCAGCTGCCGTCCCGGCCCGAGGCTTTGGGTGCAAGTTCCAAGAACCTGCGAGCCTCTCGTGACTGCCGCTAGACGCGCCGACTCGCCATTCCAGCGTCTGGACGGCCGCGCCCCAGCAGGGGACGATCGCCACCACGCGCCACACAGTCAAGCCAGCGTGGCACCGCCGCCTTAGAACAAAGGGGGATCGCCAGAGCGTTCCTCCGCATCGCAGCAGCCAGAGAACTGCTCGCCAAGCATCACAGCTCGATGTCGCAGTCCAACACCAGTCAGCCAGCAGGACGTCCTCAGGCAAAATTTTGGTCATGCAGCAAGTGCCAGAGGACGAACATATACTCCAACAAGAAATGCTGATTCTGCATGCCGGAGCCTGACAACGGCCGAGACAGTCTCTCAGCCGAAGTCGACTCGACGCCGCCATGGATATGCCAGTCTCGCACGAGAAAACAAGGGCAATGGTGGCAAGAAGATACAGCAGGAGGAGGACCACGCCCGAGACGGGCTAGGTCAGCCCATGCGCCTGACAGGAAGTCGAGGGACCAGATCACACCACTACTGCCTCGTCCAGCTCAGCTGGAGGAGGCCATGAAGCATAGATTATGGCTGCCAATGCCCACGTCGAAGAAAGACATCATTGCTCATCGAGACCAGTTGAAGATCAGCCTCGACGGATTGGAAAAGCAAATCAACAGCGCTTACCAGATAGGCCAAAGATCAGCTCGCATCGCGGAGCTGGAGCAGGACTATACAGCCACCTTGTACATCAGCATGTACGCCAGGGATCCAAAGGCCCGCACGGAGCAGCAGAAAACATATGTTGACAGAATCAGGAAACGTCTGAGCGATTCACAACGAGCGGAGGACCAGGCACTTGACGAGCACAATAAAGCGGTCACCCTCACGCAAGCGCTCTTCGAGGATGTGCAGAAAGCAGAGGACCCGCTTGCGCACTTCGAACACCTCGAAGAAGATGAAGAAGGATAATCTGTTGTCATGGAGGACAAACATGGCCAAGAGCAAGAAGTACCGCCCACGCCAAGGGCAACTCCCACATCGGCCAATTCACCGCCCGTGGATGACACACACACACAGAACTCAGGTCAGACGGCAACCACAGCAGCGCGCATAGCCATGCAAGCTGCCAACATCGACCTGGCAGCCCCGGTCAGCGGTCTTGCCACCCAGATGGCGAACGTCCAGCAGGCCCTCGCAACGGTCATCAACAACGCGGCGCTGGCACAGCCAGCGGGGCAGGGCCAGGCACCAGCACCAGCGCCAGCGAGCCAACGGGCCCACGCAGGCGCGGCGCCAGCACAGCTGGCAGCAGTGCCAGTGCCATGGCCGCCCCACCCAGCACGAGGAGAAGCAGCAGCACCTGGAGAATAAGCAGATGCGCCAGCGGATGGGGCAGTGACAACGCCCAGACCAGGATGGGCCGCATCGGCATCAGCCAAGCCAGCAGACCCCAAGATCACCCCAACGAAGATGAACATGAGGATCGCGGTGGACAAGTCAGCCAGCAAGCGCGTCCCAGGCAGCGCCCTCAAGGTGGCCTTCGACAAGGGCAGCGCCCGCAGGGCAGCGGCCGAGGAGGCCAAGGTCGCCACCGACGATGACGACATCGACGAAGGCATGGGGGACGAGCCCAGCCCACGGACGGCCCGCCAGGGCCAAGAAGATGAATTATGACAAATACCGTTGCATGCTGGAGAGGAAGTTCCAGACATCGCTGCAAGAATTCAGGAAGACCCACGCCCCACCCCTCCATTGGAGACGGAACCCAACCTACGAGGAGTTGTCACCAACCCCACCCCCAACCTGGCGGATACCCAGGACCTTCTCCAAAAACGATGGGCATGGGAGCTACATACAAATACGGTTTACTACGCTAACTTCTGGCATTCAGCCACCATTTCAGGTCTTTCCAAGCTGTGCCCTGACCCAAGCATCCCACCTATGCGTCTGGACAGATACACGGACGGCACAGCTGGGGGATAAAGACTGGGAGGGGAACATTTGCGCGCCAGCATGGTCCTGTGTGGTCATAGCAGCAGCACTTGAGCACACATGGTTATACGGCTTCTTCGGAGGTACTCTTGAGTCACCACATCACTATACCCTGCATCTCTACACTCTGCAGCTGTATAATACGAAGCCGATATCTGGGCTATAGCATGGCTTATCAGCACTGCAAGCACATTCCAACAACTTCTTCTCGTACGCAAGCATACTGACAACATGCAGGTTGTGCGAAGTGCCTCACTGGGTGCTCTCCATGGTCCCCTCAAAAGCCCTCAGTGTATCCTGGACAGCATGGTGCAAA